CCAGGTTTTTAAGCACAGAAAGCAATACTGAAATGAAGTCTTTCTCTCCCATGTATGTACATTTGTTATTAAGTGTATTTGTACATACTTACATGTCAGTACAGTTAGTCCTGATTTATAAGTAGTCTATTCCCTTGTATGGCTAATGTTTCTCCAGCATTTACTAGATGCTAGGAGTGCTGCAGAAATGTTAAATTTCCTGATTCTGTCTTCCCTGGAGCTTACCTTTCTCCTGTAATCATTGACTCATTTGTCTCTACAAAGATTAAGATGTGTTCAGAATGCCAGAGGAATACAAAGGAGGAGTTTTTATTTTTTCCTGTATGAATTCTAATTTAGGATATGGGTCCAACAGTTTAATCAAATAATGTGCTAAGTGGAGAACCACAGATTCAATGTCTAAAGTCATGTACTTGGAGAAGATCACATGATTTTGTGGAAAAAACTCTCAAGTAGGTGGTTCATAAGTTCCTTTCTACAGAGAATTAAGAAATAACATTACAGGGCAGGGGATGTACCTCAAATGGTCCAGCTCTTGCCTAGTATACATAAGACCCTGGGTTTAATCCTTAGCACTGCAAACAAAAAAAGAAACAAAACAAAATTATAATTGCTTTGTAGAACCCAAGAACATTCATTAGTTTCTCATTAATGACTTTTCAAAGGACCCAACAGTGCATTGAACTGACATACACACAAATGTACCTGACTTTTAAAAATAAATTCTTAAATGCCAGGTGCCTGGCTCATGTCTTGAATCCTAGCTACTAAAGAGGCAGAGATCAGGAGGATTACAGTTTGAAGCCAGCCTGGGCAAACAGTTCTTGAGACCCTATCTTGAAATTATCCATCATAAAAGGGCCAGAGGAGTGGCTCAAGGTGAAGGCCCTGAGTTCAAATCCCAATATCACAAAATAAATGAATAGGTAAATTCTTAACAAACCAAATAACACTCATAAAGCATTACATGTATCTAAATATACATAAATTATAATTAAAACACAACCCCATATTTCAAATGCTCAATTTTTTTTCTTTTTTTGTGGTCACTTTCTTGTGATGTTTTTTTTTCCAGATAGGGTCTCACAAACTGTTTGCCCAGGTTGGCTTCAAACTGTGATCCTCCTGATCTCTGCCTCCTGAGTAGCTAGGATTATAGGCATGAGCCACTGGTGCCCAGGTTCAAATGCTCAATCTTACTATACAAGTTTGTGGCAGTTTGGAAGCTGGTCTGGCTGGACTCTGATCCACTGTTCAAGTTTTATCATTGGAAACCTATAATATCCCTAGATGGACTATAGAGAAATGAGTGGTAACACCAGCTTAAAGACTTGGTCCATGGCTCACACCTATAATCCTAGCTGCTTGGGAGGCTGACATTGGGAGGATCATGGTTTGAGGGCAGCCCAGGCAAATAGTTCAAGAGACTCCCATCTCCAAAATAACCAGAGCAAAATGGAGATGTGATTCATTTGGTAGCAAGCACAAAGCCCTGAGTTCACATTCCAGTCTTACCCCCCCGCCAAAAAAAAAAAAAAAACCCAACTTGGTCTAGGGACATGGTCTCCAGCCTGCTAGGCAGGCTCTCTACCACTTAAGCCCTTAGTCTAACTTTTTATAAAGTCTAATGTATTAAATACAGAACCATACCAATTATTAAGTATACTGTAAGGAAAGCGAATTAATATCAAGATGCAAGAGAGCTTTTTAGCTGTAATCTAGACATTTTACTAGGACTATTTCTTTTTTTTTTTTGGTGGCACTGAGGTGTGAACTCAGGACTTTCACACTTTCTAGGCAGGTGCTCTACCATTTGGGCCACTCCGCTTAGATAGGGTCTTGTGAACTGTTTGTCAGGACTGGCTTCAAATCTCGATCCTCCTGATCACTGCCTTCCTAGTGGCTAGGATTACAGGTGTGAGCCACCAATACGCTGAACATTTTGTCCAAGATACATAATTTTTTTTTTTTTGTGGTACTGGAGTTTGAACTCAGGGCCTACACCTTGAGCCACTCCACTAGCCCTTTTTTGTGATGGTTTTTTTTTGCGAACTGTTTGCCCAGGCTGGCTTTAAAACTCCATCCTCTTGATCTCTGCCTACTGAGTAGCAAGGATTACAGGCGTGAGCCACCAGTGCCCGGAATGAATGTTAATTTAAATGACAACTAAAATAACAAATTGAATGCTAATGTAATGTGATTTCATTATTCAGTCTATGGTGTGATGCAACAGACACACTGAATTCCACTAGTACCAACTTTAAAAGAGCCTTTCTGGCAACTCAAGCGTGGCTTACCAATAACTAGAGTCACCGTAATTAATGTCCCAACAAAGATGCTTGAAAGTGAAAGGGGAGAGATGGAGACAAACCAGATGGGATGTTAAAAAATCAGGGCCAACTGGCACTGTCTGCAGAACCAGGTCATGTATCCCAGTAACTGCAACTAAAAGATAAGTGGTAGAGTTTGAAGTCAGAGATTATCTTGTAGTAATAAACTGAAGATTTCACAAACAAACTATAGCTTGCTTTAGTGGCAGTGAGTAAACAAATATGTGCTAGTGGCAATGAAAAAAGAACAAAATAAAAAACAGACTGAGAATATGGTAGAGTTTCCTGCAGGTAAAGATGAGGTTCCGTTTTGGATCTTCTAAGCAAAGCACTTAGTGCTAACAGGAGCAGTGAAAAATCGAGGTGAGCAAACAGGAGGAGGAAGAATGTTGAGAATCCTAAGGAGATTCTGTGGTGGACAAGGATATGCCAAAGTTAGCATCAAATATCTGCAAACAAATAAAATGTTTGATTCTTAAGTTTTATGAAAAGCTGCAACTTTATATAAGGGGATTCCCAGGTACAAGTGCAGCTCTCCAGTTCTCCCTGACTCTACTTGATCTACTTGATCTCTTGCACAAGCATCTGACTGACAAAAGTAAAGCAAAATTGAGATTTATGAAATTATTATGAAGAGCATATTATTGAGGGGGAGGGGAGTAGAGAGGAAATTAATTTCTAAAGTTTCCAGGCATTTGCATGCTCTAATAAAACATTTAACTCAAGGGACTGGTGCTGCTTATTGGGGAGAGGTGGTGGGGGGTGGCTCTCATCTTAATGTAAGAGCCAGAGACTTGAGCTGCATTCTCCTGGAAGGAGTGATCCTGGAGAAAATGGTCAAGGGATTTAAATCAGAGTTTGGAATGGGGAGAGCATCTTAGAGAGGAGTGACACTTGAGTTGTAGAGGAAGTTGCTGGTTCAAGGAAGAGAGAACCTGATAGACAGTGGTGGGGAATGGGATTGGAGAGGTCAGATCATGACGGGCTTTGTGAGTGCCATGAGGGAGTGTTTGTTTTTTGTACTGGGGTTTGAACTCAGGGGCTACACCTTGAGCCACCCCACCAGCCCCTTTTTTTTTTTTTTTTAATGGTACTGGGGTTTGAACTCAGGGTCTATACCTTTAGCCACTCCATGAGCCCTTTTTTGTGTGTGTGTGGATGGGTTTTTTTGAGATAGGGTCTGGTGAATTATTTGCCTGGGCTGGCTTTGAACCCTGATCCTCCTGATCTCTCCCTCCTAAGTAGCTAGGATTACAGGTGTGAGCCACCAGTGCCCAGTGCCTGGCTTGGAACATTTCTTAAACTTTTATGTATTTATTTTGGTGGGTCTTGGGTTTCAACTCAGGGCTTCGAGCTTGCAAAGCAGGCACTTTACCACTTGAGCCAGCTATATCTCCAGTCCATTTTTGCTCTGGTTATTTTGGAGATGGGGGTCTCCAGAACTATTTGCCCAGGCTGGCCTCGAACCTTGATCTTCCTGATCTCAGCCTCCCAAGTAGCTAGCATTACCAGTGTGAGCCACAGCTCCTGGGGAGAAAGAAGTTTTTTAACATGAAAAACAAGCATGCTTTGATGAGTGAGAGGACGTACTTTCAGTGTTTTCTCTGGCACCAGAATTGTGGTGGTGAATTTCCAAACTAGTACCAAGAACCCTATTTACTTCTGTACCCATAAAAAATACGTAATAGATGTATACAAGTACGTTGTATACAAATACATGGCATATAAACATACCTCAATGTCATTAGTTACACAGCAATTTATAGCTCATGGTAGTTGAAAATAAGTTGTACTCTGCTCATTAGATTCTTAGTATTGCATATTCAGATTTCATACTGATAGGTTCATGTAAGGTCCTGCAGAACATTGTCTGGAATTTTAGAGATAAAAATTTGTTAGAAAAACATTATTCTGCTGGACTTCTGTCGCTCACACCTATAATCATAGCTACTCCAGGAGGCAGAGATCAGGAAGATTGAGGTTCAAAGCCATCCCCAGGCAAATAGTTAGTGAGACCCTATCTGGAAAAACCCATCACAAAGAAAGGGCTGGTGGAATGTCTCAAGGTGTAGGCCCTGAGTTCAAGCTCCAGTACTGCAAAAAACAAAAAAAACCCATTCTAAAAACTTATCCCTATGGGTAAAGGAAAAAGACTACAAAGCTATAGAGTATTTTAATTGGTTTTATGTGAGCTTCAGGGTTTGTAGGTAGTATTTTCCTGCACTTTTTTCCAGCTTTTTCCACAGAACACGTTATCTTTGTAGTCAGAAAAGGTGTTTTTTTAATTACGTAATTTTCAGTATGACTGTTTCCTTTCATCCTGAAGTATTGAGTATCAATAGCATACTCACACAAATCAGGAAATTTCCAGTTCTTCTCTTACCCATCTGTGAGTCATGCAACACAGAATCCATGTCATCCTTTCATTGAGTTGTTTTGTGATCAGTTGATAGTACAGTAAGATGTCTTGTGATAGATAAAGTACAAAAAGATATGCATAATAGGGAAATTAGTAATTCACAGATCAGCTTCCTTGGTTGGAGAAGGGTACGATTTAAAGTTGCTGTCAAATAGTACTTTATTTTACCAAAGGTATCTGTCTCAGGATTAGTAGATCATTCCTTTTACAGTTAATGAAGTTAGCTTTCATATGTTTTATTTTTCCTTTAGGTAGTCAAGCCACATACTCCATTAATAAGGTTTCCTGACAGAAGAGACAATCCTAAAGCCAGCGGTAAGTTATACTTTATTCAGATTTTGTAAAAAAAAAAAAAACTGAGCATAAACCTGTTTAGAAGTGGGTATTGTAGGCAATTTTTCTCATTTTAAGATCAGATAGACTATTGTAGCTTAGATCAAAATGGTCCCTTAGATAGCATGCAAGTAGAAATTAGCTTTTATTAACATTAACTTAACTGTGGATGTCTCTGAGTTTATATGAGGGATTTTTGTCCTAATTCTTTTAGAAGAGTCTACTCTGCTTTCCTTTGTAGACTGTAAGTAGTAACTGTTCCTGTGTTCCTCTCCCTGCCAACTTTTTCTTAAATTCACTCTTTTACCTGGTTTGAACTCAGCCTGGTGCTTGCCGGTCAGGCACTTAGCACCTGAGCCCTGTGTTGGGTATTTTTGAGATAGGGTCTTGCCAGCTATTTGCCCAGGCTGGGTTTGAACCATAGTCTTCCTGATGTCTGCCTCCCAAGTAGCTAGGATTATAGTGTGAGCCACTGGTGCCCAGTGCTTTTTTTTTTTTTTTCAACTAACCACATCCTCTGTGCCTATCTTGCTTGATACACAATCTTTAACTCAGGGAGAATTTTAGCAGATTTTCTAGGATTTTTTTTAGATCCTGAAAATGCTGGGGCCAGTGGCTCACACCTATAATCCTAGTTACTCAGGAGGCAGAGATCAGGAGGATTGTGGTTTGAAGCCAGCCCAGGCAAATAGTTGGCAAAACCTTATCTCAAAAATCCCTTCACAAAAATAGGGCTGGTGGAGTGGCTCAAGTTGAAGGCCCTGAGTTCTAGCCCCAGTACTGCAAAAAAAAAAAAAAGATATTGAAAAACCTTTTCTTATTCCCCATTGTAAGATACTACTTGTGAACACCAGCTGTTGACTTATGAGGGCTTTGACATGCCAAAAACATAAGTAGGGTAGGTCAAGTCCACTAGAATTTTCATCATTTTATGAACCTGTTCATTTTAATAATTCACTTATTTAAAACTACCTCCTTGTTTTTGGACAGTGCTGCATGCCTGTTGTCCTACCTATTCAGGAGGCTGAGGCTGACGAGAATTTGAGGCCAGTCTGGACAACATAGTGAGACTCCTGTCACAAAAAAATAAAAAGAAAAAAAGCTGGAGATGTGGCTCAGTGGTAGAATACTTGCCTAGCATGCACAATGTCCTGAGTTTAAGCCCCTGTACTGCCAAAAAACAACAACAAAAAACTAGCTCCTTGTTTTAAAAATAACATTACAAAAGTACATATAACTTAGTAATTTTACATTTACATTTTAGAATTATAATGCTTTAAGAATTATTCAAAGAATGACCTGATTTCAAGAATGACTTGATTATTCAATAGTAGAAAACTCAAAATAACATTTTAAGACATCTGAATAATTTGTCTAACTGGGTTTCTTTTTGGTTTTGTTTTTTAACTTCAGCATCAGAAGCATTGAGATCTGCAGGGCTGCCATCTCACTCTTCTGTAATCTCACAGCATTCTAAGGGAAGTAAATCCCCAGAGCTGCTGATGCATCAAGGCCCGCCAGACACTGCAGAGATATTAAAGACATTACCTCAGAAATACAGGAGGAAACCTATGTCTCAAGAAGAAATGGAATTTATCCAAGTATGTTGTTGCTCCTTGTTAGAGCATTTGAGCTTTGGAATTTCACTTGCTGATTTACATGCTCTTCCCATTGTCGTGCCAAGTATGGTCATGGAGAGACGGAGAGGGAGGCCAGGACTGGGGAAACCACCATCATCAGATTCCCCGATAAATGTGCATAATATATGAAGAAATAAAACTGCATTGGGCTGGAGGCATGGCTCAAGCGGTAGATCACCTGCCTTGTAAGAGTTGAGTTCAAACCCCACTAACCCTTCTCCCCCCAAATTAAAAACTACATGAAGGACAACCCTCTTATCAGGAACCTCCTCTCTCAGTAGGAGCTCTGTTTCTTTTCAGTAAACTTCCTACCTATACACTTAAAAACAAACAACAAAAAAAACTTCATGGAAAAAAAGCTCTTTGTGTGTCAGTGCCTCCTGCTTGTAATCCTACCTACTTGGGAGGCTGAGATGTGAGGATCAAGGTTTGAGGCCAGCTGGGGTAAACAGTTTGTGAGACCCCAATCTCCAAAATAACCAGAGCAAAATGGACTGGAGGTGTGGCTCAAGTTTAGAGCACCTACTTTGCAAGTGCAAAACCCTGAGTTCAAACCCCAGTCCCACCAAAAAAAGAAAGAAAACTCTTTGGGTCCTCAATTTTTCAGTGTCAAAGAACTTCTAAAACCAAGAAATTTGAGAATAACTGATAATGGTAAACCTTGAGTCCCTTCCAGATCTGCAATTAAGTTTAGAGCAATTAATATCAGTGCCCCAAAACTATGATAAAAGTGAAACTGTGGTTTAAAAACAAGATCATGTGCTTAAAATTGTGAAAATGTGTACAGCGGCCATGGAAACATTTTCTGTGTCAATTTACCATCTAATCTTACTGCTTTATGTTTTTCTTTTCAGCGTGGAGGTCCAGAATAATCATCACAGCTGCTGTTTGTCATCAGACAAAAGAATTATCTTTAATAAAGGACTTCCAAAATGACAAGTGAAAAATTGTATATTAAGCAACCTTAATATTCTACAAAAAGATAAAATATAGAAAAATTCAGATGGATACTTGTATCACCTAATTTATGTATCTTGGTCAGCTTCTCCACAAGCTTGCCTAATTGTTTATGTACTTTATACTTATTAAAGTATACATTTTTAAATGTTAGTCTATTAATTTACTCTTGCTTATCAAGTAGTTTCAGTAATGAACTATTAAGAGCACACCACATCTAGCAAACTATCACAGGTTTCTCATAACTTCACTTTTGTTTGTTTATATTGGATATGGAAGGAATTTATCAGGCAGAATTATTATTTTATGTAAGTGGTTATTTCCTAATGTTTTTTCATTGACAGGGTTAATGGAGTATAACTGGCTTCATAAACATCTCTTACTCTAAATGATAAAAATGTAGTCAAGAGCAGGGCGCCAGTGGCTCATGCCTATAACCCTAGCTGGACAGGAGGCAGAGATCAGGAGGATCGAGATTAGAAGCCACCCTGGTCAAATAGTTCATAAGACTCTATCTCGAAAACACCCATCACAAAAAAAAGGCTGGTGGAGTGGCTCAAGGTGAAGGTTCAAGCCCCAGTACCGCCAAAAAAAAAAAATAGTCAAGGTAAAAAGAGTGACTGTGGATTAAGACTATGACAATGAGGCAAAAGATTATTTGTAACTACTCAGGAACATGTCCAGCTATAAAATGGAGAGCTCTTGATCCAGCTGAGTTGTGCCAAAGCATTATTAAATATATGTGGGTCCCCATGAAGCCCACTATACCCAGGTTTACCAGGAGATTGGGTAGGAATGGGCTTCATCATAGAATGAGGAGTGCTGATAAAAACATCAGGCTTTGAAAGGTTCCAGTTCTGTGCCTGCTCATTGTCATCATTAGCTAGCTCCCTTGAGGACATAGGAAGTGTCAGCAAGCCACGTTAGATGGGAACATGGAATGTCACTGTACACTTGTCTAAGTACCATTTACTATGTAGCATGAGTTCATGAGATGTACCACTAAATGAAAGTATAAAGTGGGAAATAAGAGAGCAAGATGAAGATAGCCTAGGAATGGTTCACTAGAAATTGCAACTTACTATGCTTTGGGGACATTAAGAGGTCTTGGTCTTTGGTTTGTTTTACTATTTTGGTAGTGATTATGTGTGCAAATTCTGAAAACCACTAACTTCCCCAACCTTAATGTCAAAAAGCTTCAAGACCATAAGTATTTACCTTTTTAAAGCAACCTATGGAACTTTAATATGCTCTTCGTATGCCAAGGGTATGTATATTTCAGAAGTAAAGCTTCATAAAGCTAAATAAAATCTCTTTTATATCTGTAATGATTCCTAGAATATGCTTTAAAGAAATTAGTCCTAGACTGGGCCTGTAATCCCAGCTACTCAGGAGGCAGAGATCAGGAGGACTGTGGTTTGAAGCCTGCCCAGAGAAATAGTTTGAGAGACCCTATTTCAAAAATATCCTTCACAAAAAAAGGGCTGGTGGAGTGGCTCAAAGTGAAGGCCCTGAGTTCAAGCCCCAGAATCACACACACAAAAAAAACCCCAAACATTCCTAATAGTAAGTGTAGCTCAGTCCAATTCCAATTGTTGAATGTTTCTTTTTTTGTGCAGTTGCCTATGGATTGATCTTTACTTTTTTCTACTTTTCCAGAATTGATCTGTTCCTCTTGTTAGTTCTGTGCTGTGGCCTAGTAGAAATATTTCTCAATAGCAATGTAAGAGTGGTTTGAGTTTGATGCTAGCATTAAGCTATTCTGGTAATGTAAGAAAATACATGATGCATCTTTTTAATTTAAAAAATTATTGAGGAAAATTACTTAAATAGTAGCACTGATCCTTTTTCCCCATTAGCCTTTTCATTTCAGTAAAAGGAAGTACATTTGCTTTCAGAAACAGTGGGTTCAGGTTTGAGTTATACTGTGGGTTAGAAATTAGAATCCGCTGGACACACCTACAACCCTGGCACTCAGGAGGCTGAGGTAGGAGGATCACCAGTGTGAAGCCAGCCTGGGCTATATATAAGGCTTTCCCTTTAAAAATGGTGTGGCTCAAGTAGTAGAGCACCTGCCTACCAGCAAGTCCAAGGCTCTGAGTTCAAACTTCAGTACTGCCAAAAAAAACCCCCAAAAACCCAAAACAAATCCAAATCCAAATCTTGCAACTATGGCTATATGTATGAAGGCAATATTTACAACAGCTGTTGCTATGGAAGTCAAAAGGAAAATGTTACTTTTATAGGATTTTTAAGTACAGATATGGCAAAAAGGCAAGTCAGTGAGACCTGCTGTCACAGGATGTGCTCCCAAGGCGATCAGTGTAGCCATGGAGTCAAATTGCCTATATTTCCATGTTCTTAAATACATGTACCAATTTGCTTAATTTGTCAAGTGTCACTTTCCTCTCCAGTGCTTTACAAGTGTGAAGTCATTTAAGCTTTACAGTAATCCTTTGAGTAGGTCCTAGCATGAAGAGGAAACTAGCACAGATAGTAACTTGCCTAAGTTATACACCTTCTGAATCCATAGTTAACACCCAGAGCCTGTGTGTGCTAAGCACACTGCACCGCCGAACTACATCGCTAGCCTGGGACAGTTTAAAATAAGGTAATGAAAGGTGTAGTTATTCTCGGACAATGAGGTCATTGTATGTGTAAAAGACATTAAGTATCTCCATAGCATTTTGCAGTTTATAAAGCAGCTCTGTATTAGCCAGCATCCAAGAAGGACATATGGTCTTTGTCTTCTGGTATGAATGTGCTCTGTAGACTTCTACCATGAAGCTGGCCACTGTGTGACCAATAAAACATGTCACAAGTAACCAGTGTGGTGGTAATCCAGTTGCTCGAGAGGCTGAGACAGGAGGATGGGGAGTTTGAAGCAAACCTGGTCTAGAAGTAAGACCATCTTGAAAAAGAATGAGAAAAGCAAAAGTGAAACCACAATTTTGCTTCTGCCATCTATCTATCTATCTATCTATCTATCTATCTATCTATCTATCTATACACATATATATGTATTGTTTGTTTTTTGAGACAGGGTCTTGCTATGTAGATGGGGCTAGCCTTGAACTCATGATCCTTCTGCCTCTGCCTCCAGATTATTGGGATTTCAAGCATGTACAACCACATGTGGCATTGGTGTATAATTTCTGAGACTAGAACATAAAAGGCATTGCTGGTTCTTACCTGTACACTCGTATATTTGCTCTGGGAGAAGCCAGCCGTGCCGTGAGTTTATTCAGACAGCCTGTGGGGAGGTGTACGCGTACAGAGGAGCTGAAACCTCCTGCCAATAGCATCAACCTCCCAACCAGGAAAGGGAGGCACCTTTGAGGTGCCAAGCTTCCAAATGACTGCAGCCCTAGGTGATACCTGATGGTATTCATGAGAGAGACAACTGCCCAGGGAAGGTGCTTCTGAATTTCTGACTTACAGAAACCATGACAATGGCCCAAGATAGGCATTTCCTTGTCAGCAGCACTATCTAATTTAATCAGTATCAGTTTATGTTCCATGGCATACTTAGGAATCTTAAACCTCACAGGTGTACTATCAAATTGGCTCACTAGCTTGTTTCTACTACAAGTGATATTAAATTACTGTTTCAAAAGGAACATTGACCTTTGACACCCCACGTCACTAAGTATGGCTTTCCATAGTTTAAAAAGTTGCTGGTAAAGAGTGTGTGTTCTCTGCAATGCATGAGAGTTTACGTACACCCAAGTAGTGGCAAAGAACTGAAACATAATGGTAACGGCTAACAAGCTTATTAGACATCATTCTAAGGGCTTACAAGTGTGAAGTCTTTTAAGCCTTGCAGAAATCCTTTGAGTAGGTCCTATTGTGGGGAGGGAACTAGGTACAGATAGTTCATAAGTTATGCATCTAGTGATTGGCAAAAACTCAAATACTACACTAACTTGCTTAAATTATTGGCATTGATGTTTTGCTGCCAAGCCCCGGTACTGGGGCTTGAACTCAGGGCCTACGCCTTTGATTGCTGCCTCCTGAGTAGCTAGGATTATAGGTGTGAGTCACCAGCACCTAGTCAGAGACAATCTTTTAAGGCATTGATTATACCACTTGACCACCCAAACCCCTCCAGTGGCTTCGTTCTACTTTACCTGTAATGTTCTGCTCCCACTTCTATCCCTTTCCCCTTCCCCTGTTTTATCAGGTCTATAGAAGTTATCATGTATCTGTATCATATTTTTCTTTTTTCTTTTTTTTTTTTTTTTTGCAGTACTGGGGCTTGAACTGAGGGCCTTCACCTTGAGTCATTCTACCAGCCCTATTTTGTGAAAGGGTTTTTCGAGATAGGGTCTTGCAACTATTTGCCTGGGCTGGTTTCGAACCAGATCCTCCTGATCTCTGCCTTCTCAGTAACTAGGATTACAGGTGTGAGCCACTGGTGCCCAGCTTGACTTTTTTATTAAAATCACCTCTCATTAGAAGGGGCCTTTGTATTGTTCCCTGTTGACCTTTTAGAGTCTATGGACAGTGCTTGGCACATAGAAAACAAATACATATTTGTTAAATAAATGAATTAATGTGTTTATTGTACGAAACTGATAATCAGGTTGGGTATTGACCCCGGCTAACCCTTTATAGATCAAATTGGCTTTTATTTCTGATTCATAAGTTGGATGACATTCATTCTATAAAATAGAATGAGGGCCCCCATTGCACAACAGCATACCAGTGTTTTGTTTGCTTTGAGACAGGACCTCATTATGTAGTCCAAGCTGGCCTGGAACTTACTATGTCTTTAAGCTTGCCATGAGCAAGTGGTTATCCTGCCTCAGCCTCCTGAGTGCTGAGTTATATTTGTGTGTCACTGTGCAGGATGAACTGCAGGATTTTAAGAATGGAGTAAGAACACAGAACAACAGAAAAAATTCAGCTCCATTAATTCAGGCTTAAAGCAAAGGGGAGTTCCTTATCATGCCTGCTAAACTTACCTGTTTTGGGGATTTGACTATTGCCTTTCTCTCTCCTGATTTCTTGGAAGGCCAGATAAACAACTTCGTTTCTTGTTGTGGAACTTCTGTATGAAATGACTTCATTTTGATTAGGTCTATTGGGCCTAGGTAGATAGCCACACCCCCAGTGAAGTCCGTTGGGCCTACTACAGGAGCTCAGTCCAAACCAATATTCTCCTCTACAATTTTTTTTTTTTTGGTAATAAAACTTCCAGTTCCAGCCTGAGAAGTAAGTAATTTGGGCGTCACATTTCTTCATACGAAAAAAGCTGAACCATCTGAAAAATCAACAGTTCTTAAATCCATCAGGGAATTGCAGTCTTAGGGCAACTCCATGACCCCCCCCCTAAACTGGAGAGAAATGTGAATGCAGAGAATCAAGACTTAAGCAGGCGCCATTGCATCCAGCCACTGGCAGAAACCTTTAAAGCATAATTACTAACGACACAGCGAACGCTTAATGGAGTACATTATGTAAACGTTCTGCATGCTTCATTTAATCCTCACAACCACCTACCATACAGTCTTTTGTTTCCATTTTTTACAGAACAGAGAACCAGAAAGAAGCCTATTTTACAGCACTTATTTCAGTAGGGTTGAATTCTGTCAACCTGGCCCCGTTTTTTTCTTTTTTTCCGGTGGTACTGAGGTTTGAACTCAGAGCCTCACCCTTGCTAGGCAGGCGCTCTGCCAGCCCTGTTTCTTCTTAAAGGCACTGGCTTTGATCTTGAGCAGTCCATAAGAACTTGGCTGAGACCGCGGGGTTTGCGTGCATAGGACCCGCTGCGACAGGACCGCAGAGCAAGGATTAGAAAGCGAGATCAGATAGAAGGCTAAGACTTCCACCGTCTTACACCACTACCAAATGGCGAACTCAGAACATCATGTCAGAACGCTAAACCGTCCTTGTTAGTGGAAAAAAAATATCCAAGATAAAAAGGTACCAGAGTGACACCGCGGCACCGGGAACGCTCCGCTTCCGGAACCAGCTCGTCTCACGTGACAGAGCAAGTAAGCAAGCGGCCACAGTCTCGCTCAGCTTCTGTACAGTCGACTCCGCCCGGACCCTTTTAGTGGCAACCCCGCCCACACCGGAAGTGAGGGCGGAGCTATTAAGCTCTCGGCGTCTAATGAACGGAAGTAGCTGCTGGAGGCTCTCTGGTAGCTTTAAATTCCTCCTGTCTCCGCACTTGCTTTTTCTGCTGGAGTTGGGCTTCGTGCTCCGCATGGCTTTGGACGTGAAGTCTCGAGCAAAGCGCTATGAGAAGCTGGACTTCCTCGGGGAGGGACAGGTGAGGCTGGGGACTGCACCGAGAGGGCCCTGAGCGGTGAGCACCGCGCTACTCATCTTTGCAGGTTTTCTCGTGGCGGCCTTCGCACTGGCCTGGCCGCTCTTTTTCCTCGGGGGAGGACGCCCAGATGCACCCCCTGCCCTCTTCCCATTCCAGAAGTGACTCCCCCCCCACCAGAGCGCCCTCCTGAAGAACTAGCCGGCGCGGGCCGCCCACTACGTTCCACGTCGCCAGCCCTGGGTTCTCTTCTTCCCCAAATGTTTATAAAAAGCAAAAAGGCAGACGTCCACAAACGTGTTATTCCTGTTTTTCTTTCTAGTTTGCCACGGTGTATAAGGCCAGAGATAAGAACACCAACCAAATCGTCGCCATTAAGAAAGTGAGTTACCTTTTACGTTGAAGATGTCCGTGTTAGAGGCCGATTTTCTACTGTTTTTTGTACTCTTGGACTCACGCCGATCATGGGAATTACTCATATCAATTCCAGAGACGATATCATTAATTAGTGCCTTGGGTTCCAAGATGGACCTCTGGGGTTGAACCAGTTTTGTTCCATTAATGTGAGTTAGGACGAAGAGGAAGCTGTGTGTCGTTTTTGCTGCATAAACTCGGGTGTTGGCCAAGGGGACAATGACTGCCCACCTGTTCAATCTGCGGAACTATTTGATGTCGTCGTCTTCCCTGGTCTTAGGTTCTGCCCACCTACGTGCACTCTGTCTTATCTGTATTTTCAGCGTACAGATAGACCATGAAAAGCTTTCACCAGCATTAACACTAATGCGCCTTATTTATTTATTGTTTTGTTTTCTTTCTCTTTTCTTTTTCTTTTGGCAGTATTGGGGTTTGATCACAGGGCTTCGCATTTACTAGGCAGGAGCTCTACATCCCCAGTCCTCTTTGCTTTCGTTATTTTAAGGATAGGGTCTCTCTCTCTCTTTTTTTCTTCTGCCTGGACAGCCCGAAATCCTCCATGTATGCCTCCCTCCCTCCTGCATGGTTTAGATCACAGGCTTGTGCCGCCCCCACCCTCCTTGCATTTTGCTGAAGCAGTGCTGACTTCTAACTTTGATCCTCCTGATCTCACCTCCCAAGTAGCTGGGATTACAGATGTGAGCCACCCCCTTCTTCCACCCTCCAGCACCCCTGGCTTGTTTTTTTGTTTGGTTTGGTTTGGTTTGGTTTGGTTTTTTTTTTTTTTTGAGACAGAGTCTCATTGTCTCTAGACAGTGAGGGACAATAGATCCTTCTGCCTCTCCCTTTCTGAGTGTTGAGTTCTCAGGTGTGCACCCCTTTGTGGGGCTTCTGCTGTGCATTTTCTAAAATGGCTTAGGTTGCCTTTAAGCTTATATTCTTTGAACATTTAGGTCATAATTGGTTAATTTTCTGTGTGCCAGGCACTTTGACCTACATATTTTCACTTAACCTTCCAAACAGTCTGAGAAGTAGATATCAGTATCCCTATTTTACACATCTCGTACCTGAGGCTGACAATAGTAGTTAGATGACTTGTCAAGACCACACAGCTAGTAATTGTTGAAGCTAGGATTTGAATACAGATATCCTGATGCCAGCCAGCTAGCCAGATTCATTGCTGTTTCCCATACTAATGAAATTTAAAACCATCTCAAGGAGAGGCAGTTTTTCTTACTTAGGGCCTGTTGGTGGAATAGGTGACCTCCATGTTTTTGTGTGCCTGTGTCTACTCTGAATCTGTTTCTCTTCCACAAATCCTAACAACTTTGAAGTGCCATTGTTAGACTTTGCATCTTCCAGCCTGCCAGGTACTTCCTCTCATTCACTTAATACCTGGCTTGCTGTCTTTCTCTCAGTTATTCTTGCCATAAGTATCTTTGTTTTATTTTACTTCTCTCATATCTTTGTTTTTCAGCTTATGGTTTATGATCCAACACTAAACCCACTCTTAATTCTCTTGACCCCTTCATCATCTTTCAGTATATCCTAGCCACTGACCTTCCTCCTTGGACACCTTAAGGTCATTCCAGTCCCAGGATCAGTGCATTTGCTCTGCTCTTTGGTTGGTATTTTTTCTCTCTAGAACTTGGCATTACTGATTCCTTATTATTCAGGTTTCTCTCAGATGTCTCCTCAACATAGAGGTGCCTTCTCTGTCTTCTCCAGCTAAAACAGGTATGCCTTCCTTATTCTTTGCTTGTCATATTCATGGCACTTATCAAAATCTGAAATCCTCTTATTTGAGTTTATTGTCTGTGTAATTCCATTCACATTATATGTAAGACTATGGGTGAGCACACTTGTACAGATTCTTTTGAAATGAGTTGACTTAGCACAGTGGTACATGCACTCAGGAGGCTGAGCCAGGCCTCCAGCCCGTTTTGCTCTGGTTACTTTTGGAGATAGGGTCTCCTATTTTTTTTCCCCCTTAGGCTGGCCTAGATCTCTTTCCTCCTATTTTAGGCCTCACTGGGATTACAGGAGTGTACCACCATGCTCAGCTTTTTTCCATTAAGAATGGGATCGCCTGGAACTGCGATACTCCCGAGTAGTGTGGAATAGCAGATACTATGCCCAGTTTTTGGTTGAGATGGAGGCTTGTGAACTTTTTGCCTACACTGGGCTTAAACCATGATCCTCTGAATCTTAGCCTTCCAGTAGCTAGGATTACAGATGTGAGCCACCAGCACCTGGCCAAATGTATGTTCTTGTTGCCTGCCCTTTTTTTTTTTTTTTTTAACCTACTCTTTAACGTTAGTTAGGACTTAGAATTCATCCTGTTTCTTTGTAATAGACTTTTTTTTATTAAAAAAAAATCCGTGATATGTTTTTATGGATTTCAAAGTCATTTATTAGGTAAAGGTATATATTAAATTGTACACAATAAAAAGTTTCATCGTGACATTTCCATACATGCATATAATGTACTTTTCATCACATTCACCCATTCTATTACTTTTTTTGGGGATGGTATTGGGGTTTGAATTTATGACCTGACAGTACTGGTGAGTACTGTACCACTTTGAGCCATACCTCCTGACCTTTTTGCTTTAGGTTATTTTTCAGTTAGGGTTGCACTTTTTGCCTGGTCGGCCTTCTCCCACAGTCTTACCTACAACTCCCAAGTAGCTTGGATTAAAGGCATGAACCACCAAGTCCAGTGTATGTGTTGAGATGGGCTCTCATGCTCTTTACCTCCTGAGTAGCTGGGATTACAGGAGTGAACCTGGCCTGCATATACCGTTTTTAGAATAGTTCATGAGTTTTTTTCTCCTGCCTCTCCCATTTTAGGCATACTCTGTACTGTCTACTGTGAACATTGCAGATTTGGTGTTTCCACCTCAACACTCAAATTTCTGTTCCCACTCATTTGCTAACATGCGTGTTTAACTTTATAAAAAGGGAGCCATTAAATAAGTTGCTCTCTGATCTTTCACCTGTTGTGTTTTAGGCTTTTTGAATATCATTGATCTACCTCATTCTTTTAAAAAAGATCATATTGAATTTATGCCTCTCAAGTTACTTAGCCAATCCCCTATTGATGGTCTTTTGGGTAATTTCCCATTTTTCAGTATTTGTCTCAAATCTTAAAACTATATAGCATTGTATACTTTTTTTTTTTTTGGTGACACTGGGATTTGAACTCAGGGCCTCACACCTGCTAGGCAGGTGCTGTACCACTTGAGCCACCTTGCCAGCTCTTTTTGTGTGTGTGTGTGTATATGTATGTATGTATGTTGGGTACTCTCAAGTTAGGGTCTCTCGAATTATTTGCCTGGACTGGCTTTGAATTGTGATCTAATCTCTGTCTCCTAAATAGCTAGGATTATAGGCATGAGCCACTGGTGCTCAACTAGTATTGTATACTTTTAAGCTGTGTATATATAAATATATACACACACACATATACAGAGTCTGCAATTTTTTTTTTTTGTGGGACTGGGATTTGAACTCGGCTTCATGCTTACAAAGCAGGCACTATACCACTTGAGCCATTCTGCCAGCCCTGACTTAATTGACTTAGATTTTTGTCCTGTTTTTTCTATATGTTGCTTAGGTTTTTTTACAGTGCTGGGGATGTAAACCAGGGCCTGCATGGTAGGCAAATGTTCTGCCACTGAGCCAGTTGCTTACATTTTTTTCTTTCTGTTCACTAGTTGTAATTCTTTGTATATTCTGAATACTGATCCTTTGTCAGAAATACACATTGCAAATATCTTACTTTGCCCAGTCTTTAGCTGGGCTTTTTGTTTACTTATGGCATCTTTTGAGGCACTAAAAGATAAATTTTAATATGGTTAAGTTAGCCATTTTGTGGGACTAGTGTTTGAACTCAGAGCTTCAGGCTTGCAAAGCAGGCACTCTACTACGTGAGCCATATACCTTCAGACCATTTTGCTCTGGTTCTTTTCAGATCGGGATCTCATGAACTATTTGCCTGGGCTGGTCCTGAACAGGATCTTTCTGATCTCAGCATTCCAAGAAGCTAGGATATTAAATGTGAGCTGCCAGCACCTGACCAATTTTTTCTCTTGATAAGTTCACAATTGTGTGCTTTCATATTTCCAGATTATAAGGAATTTTCCTTAGAAGTATTAATTTTAATATTTAGGCCTTATTCCATGTACAGTTCTTTTTCTGTACTGTTATGGGGCTCTAATATTTTTTCCCCAACTGTCTCTTTTCTTCTTTTGTTTTTTTCACAGTACTGGGGTTTAAACTCAGGGCTTATACCTTGAACCACTCCACCAACTCTGTTTTTTTGTGTTGGGTTTTTTTGAAATAGGATCTTGCAAACTATTTTCCAGGCTTGCTTTGAACCACAGTCCTCCTGATCTCTGCCTTCTGAGTAACTGGGATTACTGGTGTGAGCCACAATCTTGGCTCTTCTTTTTTTTTTTTAAATAGGAATTCAACATGCAAGACGATATCCTGTTCTTTCCTCCATATTTTTGTAAGGCTAATTTCCAGTATATGCTTGGGATTATTTCTTGGCATGTTATTTTGTACTAGTGAGTGATTTTTTTTCAATCCTTTGAAAAGATACTATTGCTTATAATGAATTGTGAAATCTGTTAAATCCTACATATATGTTTCTCTTCTTTAAATTTTCTTTGCTAAGCTGGGCGTAGGTAGTGGTGCATGTCTATAATTCCATCAAGAGTTCAGGCCAGTTCAGGCAAAATTAGTGTCTGACTCTAAAACATAATAAAACTAAAAGGGTTGGTAGGGTAGCGCAAGTGGTAGAAACCCTAGGTTTAATCCCCAGTACCCCCCCACCCCCCAAAAAAAAGTGCCTTTGGCTACTCTATGAGCCAAATGGGAAAGTATCAGGAAAAATAAAATAGGAAGTTATTAAGTGCATCATTGTTAATTATGTTGAATTTGAAAATGGCCTCATGGTTATATAAGAATGTCCATGTTTTAGAGGTATACACTTAAGCGTATAGGAAAGAAATGACATGAAGTCTGAAATTTACTTTAAAATATTTTAGCTAACAAAAGGGAAAAGATGAATAAAGTAGCAAAATATTGGTCACTGTTGAATCTGGCTGATGAAGTAAGGGGTTTCATGAGATTATCCTGTTTTTAAAATATTTGGGAAATACAGTGATTTAAAAACTGTCTATTTATAACTCTTTACTTTTCCATGTAAATTTCCTTATTTGTCAGTGTCCTAAGTGTGACCTACTTTTAAATAGGAAGTTATGTTTTTAGTACTTAGGTGGGAGAATTTTTTTTTTTTTCCTGCACTACTGGGGTTTGAACTCAGGGCCTTATGCTTGCTAAGCTCTGCCACTTGAGCCATTCCACCAGCAGTTTTTTTGTGTTGAGTATTTTCCAGATAGGGTCTTGAACTATTTGCTGGGACTGGCTTTGATCTGAAATCCTCCTGATCTCTGCTTCCTAAGTAGCTAGGATTATAGACATGAGCCACTGGTACCTAGCAGGTAGGAGATTTTTCAAAGGTGGAATAGCTGTGGTTTCCAGAGGTAATCTTCCTCATAATAACAGTCCTTGTTTAAAATAACAAGTAAAAGAACAAAATAAAGTACTAAATAAGAAAATGCTTTTTAGCTGGGCGCCAGTGGCTCATTCCTGTTTATTTTGTATTTATCACATTTTGTAATTTTGCTTTGTGAAAAATGGGAGCTTATTGGCATATTACCAACTATATAACTTGGTATTTTCTATTTACATCACATATTTTCTCCCAAGTAAATTAACTTGAAGTAATTTATTTTTAATTTACCCATATGTCCTTAGTTATCTGACCCACATTTAACTTGAAAAGATAAAGGACACAGTCATTTTTTAAATTTGAATTTGTAATTCAATATTTAAGACCAGTAGCTCAGGCCTGTAATCCTAACTACTCAGCTGTGGTTCAAAGCCAGCTCAAGTAAATAGTTTTTGATAGCCCATCTCGAAAATACACAACAAAAAAGGCCAGCAGAGTGGCTCATGGTATGCCTAGCAAGCATAAGGTCCTGGGTTCAAACCCCAGTACTGAAAAGAAAAAAAAAAGACTAAAAACTGAAGGGACAAAAGTAGATACTTGATTCTTCCTTCCTTCTTCCCCACTCCCCCGAAGTGCTAAAGATGGAAATCAGAGCCTTCACCTGCTAAGCACACATTGTACCACTGAGCAATACCTCCAACACCTTGCCTTTCTACTACATGATTCCCACTACCTTTTTGCCATGAATACTAGCCACATCTGAGTTGCTGCATATATTTGTATAACCAAGTTTTTTGTTTTGATTTTTGAGACAGGACCTCACTATGTAGCCCAAGCTGTCCTCAAATCATGATCCTCCTGCCTCAACTGCCCCAACCCCCAGTACTGGGATAAATAGCATGCACCACTACTAAGTTTTTGAAGCATGTAGATTATGCAGAATCTAACAAATTTTTAATGTGTGTGTGTGTGTTTTGTTTTTCCTTCTCTACCAGATCAAACTTGGACACAGATCAGAAGCTAAAGATGGTAAGTGTGTCAAGTAATCTGATAGAACAGGAAATTTTTTTTTCTGACTGAGGAAATGAGCAAAGTATTAATGAGAGGTAGCAAGGGTTCTGATAGTTATTGCAGCATCCAGAAGAGTAAAGATAAACCCAGGGTAGAGAGAGGACATTGGATGATTTTCACTATTTGAGTGTTCAGAGGAACATTCAGATCACCTAAGTAAATGGAAGGCAGTAAGGCTGTAGGAGCATTTCTTACTGTCCCCATCACTGTTTGAGGTATTAGAAGCCTATTTAATTTCTGAGTTTCTAATTACTTGAAAATTCACAATGCTCCTTCATGAGAAGTTCGCTATGGAGTAGACATATGGAGAAAAGATGTATTTCTTATTCTGAAACCTCATTAGAGTGTCAAGTCCTGTTTAGTCATCAAAATATAATTCATTTAAAAAAGAACCATCATCTGTGTAAGTGCCAGCCCCAGTTCTTACTTTGGATTCTGTCTGTTTTGGAAAAATACTGCCTTACCACTAATTCACTTTTAGCACAAATAATCTACCGCTAGCAGTTGTGGAGCAAGGGAAGAGTGCTTATTACTGCCTGCCTTTATAGATCTGTGTTCTTAGTGTAACGGTCTCCATGTCGAATATGCTACAGACGATGTAAGTTTTTCATCTCACCATTTATCAAAGCCTGGATTAGACCATTTTAAACATAAAGCAACCTAATCTAAAAGAATAACAAACTTGTTGTAAAAATTGTCAAAATTGACCTAATTTTTCCTGTGGAATATTGTTTATTATTTCCTAAGATTTCCTAAAAAATGTATTTGGAAGAGGGTTTGAGATTTCAGAATTATTACTCACTTCTCACTTTGCCTTTTTACATAGGTATAAATAGGACAGCCTTAAGAGAGATAAAATTATTACAAGAGCTAAGTCATCCAAATATAATTGGTGTGAGTATGATCTAAATTGTATATTTGGGACCATGCCTTTTCTGAATATCGTGGATATTGGTTGAAGGCTCAGCAAGATGACTTACTTTAAGTGAGCCTTGCAGAGGAAGCTTGAAAATTTATCAGCCTGTAATGTACTTTCTATCCTAATTCTTGCTGTACACAGTGTCTTTAAAACTTACATTTAAATGATCAAATGAATCAAATGTTAACATTCAGGCTAGTTTTGTCATTTTGAATTCTAGAAACCTGGTTCATAGTGTCAGCCTGCTTTCAAAACCCTTTTTGCCAGTGTAAGACCTTGAGCAATCTTTGCACAGTGTCAGTATCATAACCAACGCAATGAGGTTTATCCAAGGTATGATTATTGCTAATAGAAAACTTTTCCCAATATCCTGTTGTGACGACTTGGAATATAGTCAGCATTAGCAATTTTTGACAGTCTCTAAGGAAACTGATTAAGAAGAAAAAAATGAAGATAAGTGTGGAGAAAAAAAAGAAAAAGACCTTGAGCAAGTTCTTTCTCAACTATGTACACAGTCCTTACCTTCTAAGGTTGTTATGAGACTAGTTAATCGAACACATGTGAAGTATCTGGAATAGTGCCTGCTATGGAGAATTTACTTATCCAGTGGATGGTAGCTGTTGCTACTTAGATTTTCTTTTTGTTTTGGTATGTTGCCCATGTTAACCTTGAGCCTGTGGGTTCCAGTGATCCCTTAGCATCCCAAGTAGCTTGATTATGTACCACTACCCCTGACAAGGGTACTTATGTACTTTGCTTAGGAAGTTTTTTGAATTGGAGCCTAGGCTGAAGTTTTCATTAACTCATTTCTTTTCTTTGTTTGTTTGTGTTGGGTTTGGCAGTACTGGGGCTTCAACTCAAAGCCTCACACTTGCTAAGCAGGTGGTCTACCCTTTGAGCCACTCCCCTAGCCCTCATCAATTCATTTAATTATAACTCAAAGTTTTGGCAAGGAGTGTAATTATTTGGTGGCTTTAAAAAATAATTTAGTACTTTCATGTTCCTAAGTCCTTCAGTGCTAATTCCTTTAGTGCTGTCCAAAAAAAAAGGACAAATACCAAATTTGAGGAAGTTGTTTCAGTTACCAGCAGTCCAAATGCTTGTTTAAATTTTTAAAAATTGCCTTGGTATGATACCAATAGTATTAACTTTTCAAAAATTTTTGCTTTGCAGCTCCTTGATGCTTTTGGACATAAATCTAATATTAGCCTTGTTTTTGATTTTATGGAAACTGATCTAGAGGTAAGATTAAGATTCCTAGAGAATTTTTTTCCCTCTAATTTATCAAAGGAAAACCTAAATGTTTATTTTCTACCTAAGAAAATACTAGTATTCAAAAAAAAAAAACCAGGAGTTAACTTTGTTGAAGTCTGGATGGACTCTAAAGTTAAAGGGATCGCTGACTTTTTATTTATTTATTTATTTTGGTGGGACTGGGGTTTGAACTCAGGGCTTCAAACTTGCAAAGCAGTCACTCTGCTGTCACACCTCCAGTCCGTTTTGCTCTTCAAGATGGGGTCTTGCCAACTATTTGCCCAGGCTGGCCTCGAACCACATTCCTCCCAATCTCAGCTTCCCAAGTAGCTAGGATTATAGGTGTGAGCCATCAATCTCTGACTTCTTTACTTACAGTCACTTAGCTATATTTCTAGAGATTTAGATTTTGTTACCATTTTTGTCTACCAAGTTTGCTTTAACTTACATTTTTAGAGAAATAAGCATTTTAATATTATCACAAATTAATGACAGACCCCATTTCCCTTTTTCTTGGCAGCACAAGAGTTTGATCTCAGGACCCTGCACTTGCTAATTAGGCAGTCTTCTACTTGAGCCACATCTCCATCCTCTCAAGTTTTTTTTTTTTTAAATAGAAGTATCATGGTTTTCATTAATTGGATCTCAGAAAACTGACAGTCTAAGGATTTAAAGCAACTAGATTTCTCACATGTTGCTGGTGAAAATGCAAAATGGTAGCAATTTGCCAGTTAAAACTTTTTTTAAATTTTTTTTTTTTTTTTTTGGTGTAGGGTTTTATTGTGTACCCCATGTTAGTCTCTAACTCAAGATCCTCCTGGTGTCCACCTTCCAAGTGCTGAGATTATAGGCCTGCATTACCAGGCCTAACCCTGTTATTATAATCAATACACATTTACCAACCAAATTAAAGGTAAAAGGGATTTCAAAAACATAGTATCGGATATTAAATGGAATGCGCTAAACATACAAAGTGGTGGCAATTAAGTCTATAGCTTTTTTTTTTTTTTGTGGTACTGGAGTTTGAACTCGGCCTACACCTTGAGCCACTCCACCTGCCCTTTTTCATGATGGATTTTTTTTTTTTTTTAAACTTTTGGATTGTTTGCGATTTTCCATTTGATATATATTTTTTTTATCTCTTTGTATGTCTTCACTTTATTTATTTTTTAATTTTTATTTTATTCATATGTGCATACAATGTTTGAGTCACTTCTCCCCCCTTTCCTCCCCCCTTACTCCCCCTTACCCCTCGCTACTGGAAACAGCTGAAATGTCCTTCATCTAGTGAATTATCAACAAACTGTGGTAACCCATATAGTGGAATGCTACTTAGGAAGAAAAAGGAACTGATAAGTCTTAAGAATAAGCTGGCTTATGGCACAGGTCACAAATACCACCATCAGAACTGAGTCTTAACTCAGTCCTGTTTTCTGTTGCCTTTACTTGTGAGCAACACTTTCTCAATATGATGGCCTAGGCAATTCTAGGCTTATATCCTTAGAGTCTAGTTGCCTGGGGGAAAAAAAAAAAGTGCTTTGTTACCTTCTAGCATTAGTACTTGGCTTGATTGATTTATTAATCTGGGGTGATTTGTCCACTCCTGAGGCAATCAGTCTCCTGGCCAGGAGACTACATTGTGGTAATGGCCATGCCTGGATCAGGTGCCCAACTCTGGAGGCCTCAGATGTGTGGTTGAGGTAGTCTTTTTTTTTTTTTTCTAATACTGGGATTTGAACTCAGTGCCTCACACTTGCTAGGCAGGTACACTACTACTTGAGCCACTCCACCAGCCCTGTTTTTTGTGTTAGGTTTTTTCAAGATAGGGTCTTGTGAACTGTTTACCTGGTGCTGGCTTTGAACCTCGATCCTCCTGATCTCTGCCTCCCTACTAGCTAGAATTACAGGCGTGAGCCACCAGCACCCAGCAACTGTAGTTTTTCTTCCCATTAGTACTGGGGTTCGAACTCAGGGTGTCACACTTGCTAGGGAGGCACTCTTACTGCTTGAGCTACTGTGCCAGCCCACAGTCTTAATCATGTGAACCATGCTGGGATACGGTGGTTTCCCAAAGAAGTACTGAATGTAAATGTCAGAAGGGACAAACAGAAATGTCTGCTATTTTTATGCCAAAGTTGTAGGATACAAAACATAGCTTTCTTCCTTCCTTCCTCCTTTCCTCCCTTCCTCCCTCATTCCTTGTTTTTTTTTGTGGTACTTGGGATTGAGTTTATGGTCTGTACCACTTGAGCCATGCTCTCGGTCCCAAAGCATTGCTTGCTTCCCAAATTAGAGATTTTCTTTTACCACTTAACTGTGGAAATTCTAAGAATTGGGTAATGTCTCTGGGAGATTTTTCTGTATGGATGCACTCATTTTAAGTGTATTTTTTGGATATGGTAGGCTTCATTTGGAATAATGAAGTATTCTTTTTTTTTTTTTTTCATTTAATGAAGTATTCTTGTAAGTTGTTTGTTTGCTTTACAGGTTATAATAAAGGATAATAGTCTTGTGCTGACACCATCCCACATTAAAGCCTACATGTTGATGACTCTGCAAGGGTTAGAATATTTACATCAGCATTGGATTCTACATAGGGTAACGTTTTCAATATTTCTTCTTTCAATATTTCTTCTTCTTTGAGACAAGGAACTTGATATGTAGGCTTAGCTCGCCTTGAACTGGAGAACCTCTTACCTGAGCTTCCTGAGTGCTGAGCGCTTTCGACCTGTGTAATCATGGCTGGTTTAATAGTCTTTCTTTTTTTATTTTATTCTTTATTAGCATATACTAATTATACAAAGGGGTTTCATTGTGGTATTTCCAATCATGCATATAATGTACTTCGATCAAATTCACCTCCTCCATTACTTTTTCTTACTTTCCCTCCTTTTTTATACAGTTTTTAATGGTTTTCATTATTATACCTTTAATTTAGTCAAGCTTTATGTGGCAGTATAGTATATAATGCTCTGAATATGTAAGTCTGGACCATTTTATCCCAGTTTCCTCCTCTGTGCCTTCCTTCAATTGCAGCAGATGGTGCTGTGACGATTCCAAATTACTGGGCAAAACTTATAACCAGAAGAGATCCAGTTCTCCATTTTTTTCATAGATGAAGAGCTAAGTTGCCATGTGTCTTGACTAAGGTTATATACCTTTTTTCAGGGTGAGCAGTTGTTAAAACTGACAGGCTGATGAACCTAGGTCTTATGTCTTTTAAATCCAGAATTCTTTGTGTTATCCTCTTGTTACAGGAAAAAAAATACAGTGAGATCCAGGATTAATGTATAGTGCTAAAATACCTTTAAAATTATATTTCTAGTAGCTCTAAAATTCTGTAAAGTTAGGAAATAAAATTTATAAAATAGTTGGATCATTTTCAGGAACATTTAGCTATTGGAACAAAGCTGATAATTTAACTAAGATAGATATCCTCATATACTTTCATTTGTTGCGGGGGAGAGAGGGGAGGTGAGTTGTAAGTATATGTGTCACCATGCCTGGCTCCTGAGAATTTTTAGTTCATAGTTCTCATATGTTAGATTTGGTACCCCTTTTAGGTTATTGCTAATAACTCTTTAGCATAGTTCTTTTTTTTTCTTTTTTTCAGGAGATGTGTCGGATCAAGCATAGTTATTTTTGTTTTGTTGTTGTTGTACTGGGTTTTGAACTTGGGACCTCACGCTTGCTAGGCAGGTGCTCTATTACTGGAGCCATTCCACCAGCCCAAGCTTAGATTTTTGAAAAATGTTCTTTATCCATTCTAAATGCATACTTCTTTTATTTACTAAAGTTTACATTTATTATCACTGTTAAATTAATAATGACAGTAGTTTATTGGGTGCTTACTATGAGTTAGTCATTATATTAGGCTCTTTTAGAAAATATCAAATTTAATCTTCACATCAATTGCAATGAGGTAGGGAAATTGGAGCTCAGTGAAGCAAAGTAGCTTCTCCAAAGTCTCATTGTATAGTATAAACAATTTTATTTTGCTTTGGTAGGATTTTATGTCTGTGGAAAAAAATATTGACTGTTGTTTAAATTTTGAGTGTTTGTGCTGTTTTCTATTGTTTGTGGTTTTTGGTTTGTTTGTTTTTTTGTTTTTGTTGTTGGTTTGAGACAGGGTCTCATATAGCCTAGGGTGACATCAAACTCGTGATCCTCCTGCCTCAGCCTCCCAAGTAGTGGGTGGGATTATAGTTATGTACCTACATGTCTTGTTACTAAATTTAAAGTTGAGCCAACTAAATGTATCTCTATGATAGTCTCCTCTAGCTTTGCTAATTTGTTTTCTTTGAAATCACCATGATACAGGATCTCAAACCAAACAACTTGTTGCTAGATGAAAACGGAGTTCTAAAACTGGCAGATTTTGGCCTGGCCAAATCATTTGGGAGCCCCAATAGAGCTTATACACATCAGGTTGTAACCAGGTAAGAATCCCTTAAGTAACTTAAAAGTTTATTATATGCAGGTTTTTGTTCCAAGTGAGCATTAACTATGAAATGCCTTGGTAGAGTTCAGGAATCATTGGTATATATTACAATTATAACCCTTTTTATATTATGCATGTTTTATCACAATGAAAAACCCATATATCTCTTTCTAGTGGAATGTGAATTAACAAAATCCTCTTTTTTTTTTTTTTTTAACCTAGTAGCTTTTTTATTGTTATTGTGCTATGTATTGACTGCGCTACATACCTAGCCCCTTGAAACTTTTCAGAATAATTTGCACATCTTTTACATTTTAATTGGATGAGCTGGAACTTCTGTCTAATCACCTAATCTTTTAGCTCCATATTTATTATATTGGTCAGTCCTCATTATATAACTTTCTGTGTGAATGAAAATTCTCTACACAAAGCATTGATACTTTATTTTTATATTATTAATAATCATGGTTTGTTTATACTTTCAATGAATAAGATCAGAAAATTCATTAGAGAGGGACAATGTCATCTTGTGAAGATGACATTTGTTAATTTTTAAGACTGTTTTAGAGTCTGAGAAGATTTTTCTGGTTCTCTGTTCTTTCACTTATTTTGTCATCTTCTTCCAAATAAATCTTACTGAGGATCAGTTACTTGACCCTGAGTAAGAAGTAGGAGTGGGAGTGGTTGATGTGAGTGCTTCGAAGAATAACACCATTATTTAGGAACTCATAGGAACAGGGCCCACATACATGCACATATATGCTGATGCTTTCTCATTTACCAGTTTCTTGTATTTTGTCTTCCTGAAAAATCAATGCTGCTAATGTCATTAAGATGAAGACTGAGAATTCAATATTGGATTTAGCAGAGTGGAATCATCTATGACTTTAACATAAGCAGATTTGATGGAATGGTAGGAATGAAACCTGATTAAAAGAGTTTAAAAGAGGATGAGACAAAAGGAATTGGACATAGTGAGAACTGAGAGCTTTTTTTGGAAAAAAAACCAAACTATTACCGTATATAAAGTGGTCTCATTGTGATGTTTCCATAAGTGCATATAATATACTATGATCATTTTCATCCCTTCTTAGGAACAGACTAGAGAATGAAGAGGTAGCTATTAGGGGAAGTTGAGTCCAGAGAAGCTGGAGAAATGATGGCATATTTGCACATTGATTGGAAAGATCTAGTGGGAAACAAAAAATGACATAGAAAAAGGAGTTGAGAATTGCAAGAGCAATATTCTGAATATTCTAGCTCATAGCAAGGGATTGGCTTTATAAATATACAAGGATAGTGTATCTTAAAAAATACTTTATTAATTCTATTATCAAATGACATTTCTTTTTGTTCTTCAGATGGTATCGGGCCCCTGAGTTGCTATTTGGAGCTAGAATGTATGGTGTGGGTGTGGACATGTGGGCTGTTGGCTGTATATTAGCAGAGTTGCTTCTACGGGTAAGTCCTAAGTTAATGTACACATGTACACCCTTGAGGCATGACTCAAGGCCCTAGGTTCAATCATCACTATCTCCCTCCCCACAAAAAAGAATAGATTTGACTAAATGCACATTCTTCAATATTGTTATCGTTACTTGGTTTCTTACTTTGTATAGGAATTATCCTCCATCATTATCCTTGCAACAGAAATTTACAAACAGTTCAGTTTGTAAAACAGCAGCAACAACAAAAAAAAAATCTCAGCCAGACTCAGTGGCATGTACCTGTTTTACTAGCTACTCTAGAAGACCTAAGGCAGGAGTATTGGGAGTTTGAGACCAACCTGGGCAGCATAGCAAGATCCTGTCATTAAAAAAAAAAAAAAGTCCTAAATAGCTGAAGAATTATACTTTCTGTTGTACTTTTTGTCCTGCAAAACAAAAAAAAAATTTTTTTTTTTTTTTTACCTTTTTAAACTGTCCCTGTACACAGTTAAAATGTTACAAACAAAGCTGGTATGCTAGGGCACACCTGTAATCCATAAGGCTGAAGTGGAGAATCATGAGTTCAGTGGCATCCTAGGTTACATAATGAAACCTTGTCTCAACAAAACAATGGGCTGGGGGTGTGGCTCAAGTGGTAGAGCATCTGTCTAGCAAATGCCAGGCACTGAGTTCAAACCCCAGTACCAACAAAAATAAACAAGTAAACAAAACAAATCAAAAAGGTGATAAGTGGAAATGTCCATATGAATGGTTACCAGGGATCATCAGATATGGATCAAGATCTGTGGAAGCTGAAAGCTTCCAACAGGAAAAATAGACTGAAACAAACTATAAAGGAACTTGGAAAAAAACAGATAAAACCAATAGCAGAAGTTCACACACATACACATGCTACAGATTTCAGAGAGATTCGTGAGCTTTCTTGAGCTCTGTTCCTACAGACCTAACTGGGGGTAACTGAGATGCAGAAAGGACAAAGGATAGAAGACAAACATGCACAAAGCTGGGATCAGGTGTTCTGTGTGCTCTGCTGGAGATGCACAACAGCCTTGTTACTTTTCTCTATTAACTCTTCTTTTACTTTGCTTCTTTTCTCTATTCTTTAAAGACTTTAAAGAATAAGTCTTTTTACTTAGACTCGCACCATCCCATGTTTTCTTTAATCTCTCTTAAAATCTTGGTCCTCAGACTCCCAGACACACAAACAGCCAGCAGCAGCAGCAGCAGCAACAGCAGCATTTGCAAGCTGTCCCAGCAGTAGCTTCCAACCCTTGCAAGCAAGCAAGCAACCAACCAACCAATCAAAAATCTTCAACCAATCTCCTGTGTCCTCCTTAAGTCTTTTACATACAGTGGTAAAGAAGAAGGTGGAGCCACAGTTCTCAGGGAGGGGCAGGACATTGTAACAAAAGAAACTTGTGATCCTGCTTCTTTGAACATAAACATCTTAGGAAAAGCAGCTGTGCTGTATTTTGCCTTCACCCCCTTCTGTGGCTGGGGCCATGTCAAACTCAGCCTGCCAATTTGACACAGCAGTGCTTATGTCAGGTTCTCATAATCCACTCCCCACAAGAAACCTAGGAGATTATACTGCATCTATACATCAAGTACACAGGACTCTTTTTTTTTTTTTTTGGTACTGTGGATCAAACCCAGAGCCTCAGGCATGCTAGGCAAGTACTCTACCACTGAGCAACATTCCAGACCCACAGTGCTCTTTTTAAAAGACCAAAGAATAAGAGATACTTGAAATTCAGCTGGGTGCTGGTGGCTCATGACTGTAATCCTAGCTACTCGGGAGCTGAGATTGGGAGGGTTTTGATGCAAGGCAAGCCCAGGGAAATAGTTGGAAGACCCCATTGCTAAAATAACCAGAGCAAAATGGACCAAAGGTGTGGCTCAGATGGTAGAATGCTTGCTCTCTAAGCATGAAACCCTGAGTTCAAACCCCAGTCCCACCCACCTCCCCCTACTCCCAAAAAAGATGCTTGAAATTTAAAAATCAGGATGGCTAAAAAGAAACCAGAACAGTGGGAGGATTGCAAGAATAAGCTGGAGAACTCTTATATTAGGTAATGTTGAGCCATGTGCCCAGCCCAAACTCTTGTATTAAGTAGGACCAAAAAATAAAGAGATGAACTGTGGGAAAGATAAGAAAATCACCAGATTAGTCCAGGATTGATCCTAGAATGTATCAAGAGAGAACAAAAGCAACAAAAAAATGGGGTAGGAAATCTCGGGAAAATAGCCCAGAAATGATGGGTGTGAACCTTCAGGTTCAAAATAAAGACCCTACAAAAATGAGTGAAAAAACACACATGCTAGTGGACATTGTTGTGAAATTTCAGAGTACCAACCCAGATGGAAAAGATTTGACAGATGTTTATTAAATCACAGCGAATTTTTGTGTTGGAAAACACTGTAAATTGAGAATATTGTAAATCAAAACATTTAATTACACCTAGCATAGGAAACGTGATAGCAACATAGTACACTGTAGCGTATCAGTTGTTTACCCTTATGATTGACTGGCAGACTAGCAACTGCTGCTTGTGGCCACCAGTCTTAGTCTGTCTTCTGGTGCTACACTTAACACCACAAACTGAGTGATTTGCAAGGAATAGAGGAACTCCCAAGATCCTGGGAGGGGTGAAGGCCTTCCTGTGTCTTGACATGGCAGGAGATACCACATGTCAAGACAGAGCAAGCATATGTCAGCTTATGTCTCTCTGTCTTACAAAGACACCCCTCCTCTCATGGGGTACTGCCTTTATAATCTGCTTATTTCCCAAAGACCTTACTTCCAAGTAGCCATCAAAATATTGTTGCAGAAAACATTACAGACAGGATGACTGACCAGCGAGAATAAGACTCAAACCCAGGCGGTTGGAGGAAAGGAAGGTTTGTTAGGCTAGCGGCCCAGCACCTGCATATCTCCAAAATGGCACAGGCTCCGAGCTCAGAGTGGTTGAGGTTTTTATCCTGAGAAAAGAGCAGCAGGCAAGCAGGGAGTACAGAAGCAGACATGGCAGTTAGCTGTTCAAAGATACAATGTATCATGTCAGCACAGCTGTGGATGAAGCCATCCACAGTTTCTAAGAGATAGCTGGGTGCAGGGGCCCCGGCTAAGGGAAAGGCTTTACCTGTCTTTTGATTCTTTTCCCAGCTTTGATCTTTCTCCCGGTTTCCTTATCAATATGACTTGGGATTGATTAACTTTCAATATGAGTTTTAGAGAGGACATTGAAGGCACGGCACTGCTGCTGCCCAGGATCTCAAGAGCATATCATACCACTAGTCTGGGAAAAGATCAAAATTCAAAGCACAGTTTCTGCTGAATGCACACTGGTCTTGCACCACTGTAAATTAAAAAAATTCACTGAGTTGGATTACTGTAAGTCAAGGACTTAAAACATCTTCAAAGAAAAGAAAATAAAGGATTAGAGAAAAGAATGTGATCAACCTTTTCAACAGCAGCATTAGAATCTAGAAGGTTAACTTTACATTGTGGGGGAAAATGATTTTCATCCTAGAATTCTCTCATTTAACTTCAGGTTGTTGGGAGTGGATTATGAGAAGCCTAGGCAAGATGCAACATAGCTGTTTTTCCTAAATTGTTTACATTCAGAGAAGTAGGAAACGCAGGTTTCTCTTGTTACAAATGTCACTCCCCTCCTCAAGAACTGCCCCTCCCCTAGAACTGTTGTTCTACCTACCTCTTTGTTTACTGCTGGATATAAAAGACTCTTTGAAGGAGGACACAAGGCTTCTTTGATGGGGGATTGTGATTGGCTGATGCAGACACTGGCTGTTGCATGTTTCCACTGGAGCAGAACTTTATACATAGGCTTTAGAAAAGCTAAGCTAAAGAGAACAAGGGACAGTGCACGTCTGAGCACTGAGGCTTTAAGAAAGCTAAAGAGAGAACATGGGACAGTGCAAGTCTAAGGACCAAGACTTTTAAGAGTTATGCATATGCAGTTTTTAGACCAGCTGTTGTTGTTTACAAGTATGAACACCGAAACTTTAAGAAAGCTAAAGAGAAAACATGGGACAGAGCCAGTCTAAGGAAAGAGACTTTAAAGAATACAAAAGAATTAACAACCTATACGCACCCAATGTCAACGCACCCAGTTTCATCAAACATACCCTGAAGGACCAAAAAGCATATATTAACTCAAACGCAGTGGTGGTGGGAGACTTTAACACCCCATTATCATCAATAGATAGGTCATCCAAACAAAGAATCAATAAAGAAATCCTAGATCTAAAATATACAATAGATCAAATGGACCTACTTGATGTCTACAGAACATTTCATCCAACTTCTCCACAATATACATTCTTCTCAGCAACCCATGGAACCTTCTCCAAAATAGATCGTATCTAGGGCACAAAGCAAGTGTCAGCAAATATAAGAAAATAGAAATTATACCATGCATTCTATCTGATCACAATGCAATAAAATTAGAACTCAACAACAAAAGTAAAGACAAAAAACATGCGAACAGCTGGAAACTGAATAACTCATTGCTTAATGAAGAATGGGTCATTGATGAAATAAAAGAGGAAATTAAAAAGTTCCTGGAAGTCAATGAAAATGAAAACACAACCTACCGGAACCTATGGGGACACAGCAAAGGCAGTCCTGAGAGGAAAGTTTATAGCCATGAGTGCATATATTAAAAAGACTGAAAGATCCCAAATCAATGACCTAATGATACATCTCAAGCTCCTAGAAAAACAAGAACAAGCAAATCCCAAAACAAATAGAAGGAGAAAAATAATAAAAATAAGAGCTGAAATCAATGAAATAGAAACCAAAAAAACCATACAAAGAATTAATGAAACAAAAAGTTGGTTCTTTGAAAAAATAAGATCAACAGACCCCTGGCACACCTGACTAAAATGAGGTGAGAAAAAACCCGAATTAGTAGAATCAGGAATGCAAAAGGGGAGATAACAACAAACACCATGGAAGTCCAGGAAATCATCAGAGACTACTTCGAGAACCTATATTCAAATAAATTGGAAAATCTTAAAGAAATGGACAGATTTCTAGATACATATGATCATCCAAAACCAAACCAAGAGGATATTAATCACCTGAACAGATCTAT